ATTGCAACTAAAACCAGTTACATTTATTGCAATTAAACATGCCCTGTGAGTCATGTATATATTTTGTATGAAGGGATTTTTCTCTCATTTGGAGTAATAGAGCTGTTGAGTTGTGATTTATGATGTTAATTTGTAGGCAAACCCTAAAGGCTAATTCAGCATTGGTTCCCTTGGGAAATTCCTAGCAGCTTTCGGTTATTGAGTAAGATTAGGTCTGAGGATCATATTACTTAAAGAGACTTTAACATTATGTTCAACAACATAAATAGAAAAGTCATATACAGTGTTCGAACTATACCGTGGCCTTTGGGGAGCTCAACGGAGGGATGGATCTTAAGAGTCCCTTGCACAATGATGTAGGGTAGGCTATATAGCACACAGGACCCCTGTCCTTACACAGCAATGTATAAACAAAAAATATATATAAATATAAAACAAATATTTATATGATTGTAACTAATATTACAAAGTAGGCTTAATGAACAAAACACGACAATAGTTTCGGTGTTCTTGTTAAAAAGTGTTTTTTTAATTTATTTTTTTAATTATTTTTTTTATACCATCTATAACTTTTTTGACCCTTGAAAATATCTTTTGAAGGATTTATTTTTACATGCATTAACAACAGCAGTCTAAACAACAACATCGTTGTCTTATTTTACCTGCAGTGCTTCTGTGAGAGGAACACATTCATTTATATAAAATCAACAACACGAAGACGTTTCACTTAACAACAAAAATAAATAACCTCGTCATGTAGCCTATCATCTTTCTTTTCGGTCTTTAAACTCAAGATGATGGCATTTAGGACAGCATATGATTTTATATTGTACATAGCGGGCTATAGAATGTCATGGGATCTCACTTTTCTCTCCGGTAAAACACAATCACAAATTGGAAAATGAAAGAAACACCACTGAAAGGGGTTCCTTTGTCAAGTTTACCTGTTTTCAGCTTAATTGTCCAACATGTTTACTGCAATGTCATGGTGTATAAAACAAATTGTATTGGCCTACTGTAAAAAAAATAAAATAAAACTAAACAACCTCACATCATTTGTTTCAGAAAATAAATAAGTAGTGTCTCAATGCCCATGTATTATTTTTTTTTCTTTTAAGTGAGGTGTAAATCGCCTTCATGCATGAATGAAGGATATTTTTGCACTTTTACCCATAATAATCCATCATCACATTACACAATACTGAAACCCCACTTCATAACACAATAACACATTGTCAGTTATTTTTTATATATATAATTTTAGCTCTAAACTAAGCCTTCCAAATAATGGGAAAATATGTGATATGTGAAATTTTTGTTTGTTTTGCGATTCATGATTTTTTTTTTTTGTTTTTTTTTTTGCAGAATGCTATTTTATAAGCAATGTAAAAAAATAATCATTTATTAATGTAATGGTCATACTAAAATAAACAGGTAATAATAATTTTTCATGAGCTAAATATATATCATTTAAGCTTTAAAACACCACGAATGACTAAAAACCTCATCTGAAACACTGATTTTTATTGGCTGGTTTTAATTACCTCTTGTTTCCTAGAATTAGTATTTATTTTCAGCTCTAGGTTCATTTAACAGCACCTACCGCAGAGGTGGGGATAAAGATAGTAAAAACCCCAACTGATTCATCAGATTCAAATAAACAACCTATATGCATATAGCACATTTAATGCTTGACACATAAAATTTATGTAATTGTTTGCACTTCTCTGCAATGTGAATATTGCATATACTATTATAACGATCATTTTTTCAATATGTTGTACAGCCCTACTCTAAACTATGCATAGTAAAATGGCATATAAGAACTATGCTGTTAAAATAAAATAAATATATATATATATATATATATATATATATATATATATATATATATATATATATATATATATATATATATATATATATTGGTCTAGGGGTATGATTCTAGCTTGAAGTGCAAGATATGCCAGATTTATATCCCGGACGAGCCCCCAAATCCTTATTAGGGATATTTAAAAAAATATATATATAAGTGTCATCATTTACTTGCCCTACATTTATTTCAAATCTGTTTGAGTTTCTTTCTCCTATGGACACCAACATTCTTAAAAAATATTAGTTTGCCTTCAAATCGGTTTAAGCTCATTATTATTCTGGTAAAAAAAAAAGCGCTTTCTTGGTTCTGGTCGGTTTAGATGCGATTAAAATCACTCACTCTGGAACTAGGCTGTCTTTCATTATAGTGCATGTATACAAACGCACATGCAACATGTGAATCTGAATCTGGGAGGGGGGAGCGATATGCTGCGATTCAACAATGAGGTCAAGCTGCCAACAGGCAGAGCTGAATCCTCCGCAGGGACGCCTAGTTCTTTGACTCAAGTGGAGAGCTTATCGTTTATCAAACCCTCTTCTGTTCTCTCACAGCTACAGTCGCTCAATGGGCTTTTGTTGTCAGAGATGCAAATGTTTTGGTGGGGTGACGTGTCTTTGGAATATTGTTGCCTGGATCTCATTCATCCAGATGGCATGCACGCAAACCCGGGGGTGGTTATGAAGTCATGTTGAAAAACATGGAGAATTGTGAACAAATTGTCTAGACTGCCATTTGTACGTAGCTGTTTCCATCCTTGTTTTGAAGCAATCTGGCAATATTTTTTAAGGATTCTGTTTGTTGTCTTTGATCACAGTTGGTTTCAGCAAGTGATGCGTCTTAAGTCTTTTGTTTTCTGTTGGTGGTCATTTTAGGCTAATGGGCCCACTGTGTGTAAAGAAGCAGATAATCAGATTAGTAGGCCATAAATCACAGCGACCAGCTGGGGATCAGAAAGTTCACAGTGAACCCAAAGAGCACTTGAATTATGTTGTCAAGTCGTTTTCTCTCTCCTTTTTAGGCTTTTTTTAATAACGTCTACAGTGACATTACAATAGGATGATACATCATACAACCATCATTAGTCTTCCAAGACCTGCAATATGCTGCTGTATAAGAAAAGAGAAAAGAGACTAAAAACTAAATGAAAAGGGTGGTTTCAAATAGAATATGGCAAATTGATTGTCTTTGATATTGTAATTGTTATTATTGATAAAAAAACACACACATGTACAGTAGCAGTAGTCAACCTTTGTGGACCAAAACCTTTCATCAAAGTTATCCTAAAACTATTCAACACTGGGTGTCTGCAGGGTCTTAAAAAGCATTAAAAGTTAATCAATCAATTATAATAAAATGAAGGCCCTTAAAAGGGATTTAAATGTCTTAATCATGGTTTTACGAGGTCTTAAATTAAAGTGTTTGACTCCAAAAAAGCATAAATATATTTATTTTCCTCCTAATATTAGCCACGGCGTGGTCAATGCAAGCGACTGGTTCGGGCCAGGGCGCGTCCGGCATCCTCCGTCCGGGTGATGTCACATAATTTACAACAAACGCGGGAAGGTGATGTGATCCTCTCCACTTGTAGCAAAACCATAGCGCAAAACCGATGGCAAAATGGAAAAACGTATGTTTGCGTACTCCTGGAGGGAGAAAGACGAGTTTAAACAGTGGCTGAAGCCTGTCGCTGTAAACAACCACATAATTTATTCTTTCAAGCTTTGTTTCTTCCGAGCTTATCGGAGTTCTGTTGCATTGTTGTGCTCCATTGATTTATATAACTTCAACTGTTTATTAACAACTCTTTATTAGGTTAATGGTTTGATACTGATTAGAAGTTGAAGTGACGATGAGGTTTTAAAATATTCCCAAAAGATCTTTAAAGTCTTAAAGTATTGAAGTTACATTTAGGATTCCTGCATATACCCTGCAACAACATCCATTCTTGCCTTAGGACAATTTTGAAAAACTATTGAAATCCACTTCAAATGTTGACTGCTGTTGATGTTCCTTATAATTTTTTGCTAATACTATATTGGAAGTAGAATCACTAGTCTTTTATTTGCATGCCTAGTCACTTATGAGAAGTAAGGTGCAGTCAAAAGGAGGGTAAAAAATTGCAAGAAACCTGTCTAGTGAAAAGGAAAAAGTACCTTGTCAGCACTGGCTCTGGAAGGAAAATCTCAGGCAGCTGCAGTGGAGTAAAACAGAGAGTAAAGGTCTAGATTTCCTTGTGATATAAGAGTCTGGCGCATACTACAGAGAATTTTGCTCTGGATGGAGCTGAATTTAAAAAGAAATGCAACCTTTTACAGTGCTGTGCTTCCAGGATCCTCTTAGCTCATGGTTATGTAATCACAAAGTGAATGTGGATTTGGAAATAAATAAAGGGGATTTGTGATTGGGATTTGGGACTTGGACCACATTACTGCCCGTTATATGCACTGTATTTTTATTGAGTCTGCTGTTATTGTCTGTTGGTTCTTCAGCATCATTTAGAATACCAATACCCACTTTATCATTAACAGAAAATATTGATCATTTATTTTTTCAAAGTCTTAGGACTTTGTGCAGTTTAATACCAGATTTATCTATTGCTTAATATCGGTTCAAAAGTTCATAGCAAGCTAAGCTGAAAGTGTACAGAGCTTTTGTTTATGTGGTGGTGTGCTGACCACAATGCAAGAGTAAATCTGTCTGTAACAGGAGATCTGTAAATCTACACTCGTGCAACGTGTCACCCTTTCAAGCCCGCATTTCCTCAAAGAACAATATAAAGCTTTGTGACATTTGGGATGAAACGCAATGCCTTTTCAACCCTTTCCACCTCTCAGTTTTTGTGTTATGTAATACTTCAAGTGGCTTTAGTGGTAAAATGCTTCCCCTCTCTTCTTTCTCAAGGCCAAGTTTCCGTTATAATTAAACTGTTTAAAACTAAACTGGACATAAATTTAACAGGTGATGTCATGAGCATCAGCGGTCCAGAGTCTCCAGAAATTCCTACTTGTAATGTTTTCCATCAGCTGACGGTTGGACTGTAGTTCTAAAATGTACTATTAGGCATTAAAAGGCAATTCTTCTAAAATAAAATGACATTCACCATGACTTTCCTCTTCTGTTACAGGTCAGCTTGCAGATGTTGACAGCTGGACGATCCACTTTAAGAACAAAAATGGCCATACAACCTAAATTTTTGGAAGAGTTTTTGTCCTGACCACTGTCCTGGATCTATACCGCCAGTAGAAAGAGTGACCCATCTCTCAACAAGAAAAGACTTCTGTGGTTTAATTTTTCTGTGGACCGTACTTAAGCAATCATCATGCCTATTCTAAAGCAGCTTGTCTCCTCGTCATCCCAGTCAAAGCGGCGCTCACGTGCCGACCTCACTGCAGAGATGATCAGCGCACCTTTGGGAGACTTCCGTCACACAATGCACGTAGGTCGGGGAGGCGACGCATTTGGGGACACCTCTTTTCTTAGTACTCGCTCCGGGGAGCCACCAAAAGAGCCAGAGGTACAGCAGAGCTCGCCTAAACAGAGTCTCCTTTCCCGTACATTCCGAAGCAGCAAACGCTCGCAGTCAGTCAATCGTGACAAGCCTGAGAAATCCAAACTGGCACCTCCAAGTGGCTCGCCGAGTTATGTGAAGAACGCAATCTCACTTCCATATTTGAATGATGAGGACTCGGGACGAGGTACTGGAATGCACCTTCCCAAAAGCGTGTCCTCAAGCCCACTGAAGAAACTTCCAGAAACTGATGTGAAGACATTTGACGGGAAGCCGCTTAATGGAGCAGCGGCTCTTGCTGTGTCAGACTTGGAGTTGGATGAGAAGAATTTCGGTGAGCTGACTGACTTGCGTCCATCGGCTCCTTACACCGGAGGCATGAAGCACGCTGAGTCTATCATGTCCTTCCATATTGACCTGGGTCCTTCAATGCTTGGAGACATCCTGAGTGTGATGGAAAAGAAAGGCTTTGATGATGATGACTTGGGTTTTGAAGAGGGGAAGAGTAGTGAAGGACGTGGATCGCCACCCCAAAGTCCTCCTAATGAGGTGGAAGAGGAGGACCCTCTTCCTCCAACTCGCCCTCCACGCCAAAAGCCGGGCACTAACCCTTACACTCCAGAGCTCCAAACCAGAAACCACCAACACCTCGACAGCTGTTCTGTGTCCAGTTCAGGATCCACAGTGCTGGATGAAAAACCTCACAATCTGATCTATGATGGCAACATGGATAACATCAAGTACAGCGCGCCCAGAGTCCAAGACGACACAGACTTCTCCTATATGGATGAGGACGATGAGGATGAAGAGATTAGGGTGTAAAATGAACCGTATAAAGATGATTGGTCAGTTCAATTGATATATGTAAAGCTCCCGCACTGACATGGAGGACTGACTTTATAATGGAGATCAAAGGGAAAACTTGCGTTTAACCCTTGCTGAATGCTTTTTGAATACAATTCCTAGTTCAGATAAACAAACCCTCTGTTACTTGTAACTTTCACCAGAGCCGCTGCAGCTGTGAGAGGAATGTGCTTGTATGTTTGCATATGCCGAGGCAAGGGGATTCCATTTCAAATGGTAATTACAGTCCCGTGAGCATCATTAATGAATTCCAGTGTTGACCGCTGGGAATGCCAATACAGGAGGTTTGTGTGGAACCAAGCTTCAGATTTTCTCCCATTATCGACGCAGTACTCTGATACAGCTTGTTTATGCCTTTTGGACTCTGACACTACAATCTAATGCCAACAGTCTTAAGTTTCCTCACAGTTGTGGATTCTATCTTTAAGTTGTATCCTATGTTTCTGCTTTGTATACTACAGTGTAAATGATGAAGTGATGAATGGAACGCCAGAAACGTATTTCAGCAGATTGCTTTAGGTCTGGCATGCGCTATTTTTTCCCCCTCTCTTGAGATTTGTTCATGTTTCAGATCTGGACTTTGTCTTACGGTCTGTGTTGTGTGTTTACGAGGATTTCCTGTCAGGTCACATGAAATTCTTCAATCTGGTTGATGGAATACAGAAACCGAAAGCTGTGGTGACGTTGCATTACTTGGCGGAAGAAATTTGAACCAATAATGACTTTTCCGGTTTTGTGTGAATGAGGATTGATCTTAAGAGGGCCGAGAAGTGTGCTATTTGATTATTGTTGTATAGGCTCAGAGATGAAGAGCGTATCTTTTATTCAGGGTCTAGCTTAGTGCCTCGAACTTCAAACCCTTGCTCATCAGCAGAAGTGGCTCTAGAGGGTTTTCATCTCTGAATGACTCTTGTAGGCCTTTGTGTTTCTTTGTTAGGCTTTTTAAGAGAGATCAAAATCCAGTGATGAGCCTGTAAGTTAGTGCTACTCTGTAAGTTAGTGCCATACACTCTCAGAAATAAAGGTGCGCGAGCTGTTACTGGGGTGGTACATTTTCAAAAGATACACATTTGTACCAAAAAGGTACTCAAAGGTATATATTAGTACCTAAAAAGTACAAAAGTGTTTCTATAATAAAAAATGTAGGTACTAGAAAATACTTTTGAGGTACCAATATGGACTCTTTAAGTACAAATGTGTACCTTTTGAAAAGGTACCACCCCAGTGACAGCTCACGCACCTTTATTTCTGAGAGTGTACCATTTTGTAAATGTACTTGATTTGAAATCAACAAGTAAACTTGACCACCTTGCGATGTAAAGCTTTCGCATAACTGTCCTTTATGAAGTGTGTGATTTCTGTGCAACTAGCTACACCAACACTAAATTCCTTCCTGGAACTAAGTAGAATGACATTGGACGGTAATATTGGCTCAACCAATTATAAGACTTTGGAGGCGGGGCATATGTTTGCTCAATGGTACGTGTGTAAATATTTCAAACTTGTTTTTTGGAATTCAGTTTAGTGCCTCAGAAATCACACACTCCACCTTTAGGTCTCGATTGCGAGACTTTCACAAGCTAGCAATAAAAAATATTAGCAGTTAGCTAATTTGCGCTAATACTAGCAAGATGTTTAACACCTTCAAAGATTCTAGTTTACCACATAAAGCATAACAAAGACATTTATTAAAGATCTGGTAACCTAGTGAGTGTTAATTGCAAACCTGTTTCTATCACATTAAGGTTTTGGGGGAGATAATTTAAAAGTGTTCCGCTCTCGATATATGTACATCATGTTCAGTTATTCATTTAATGTATATTTGAGTCTTTTGATTGACATTATGGTTTAGTCAACAGTGTTGGCCCTGTAATCTGACAATATAAGCACACTAAAAGCTGAAGAGAGCACTATTTTGTAGAATTGGTTATATCCATGACTTTATAAAGTTCTCTGTGGCCTTTACCTTCCCTTTGTCGATTTCTATTATGGCTTTGTGTTCATTAACTAAATTATTTCCTTGCTCATTTGTCAGTGTTTTCAATGATTTGTCAATCTGCATGTCTGTACAGAGGAAAAAGTAAGGTACGATAAATATGATTATTAGACAGGAACCAAGACATGTTGTAACACTATGGGGTTTTTCAGAACGGTTTGGAAAAGGGCTTTATTAATGGTGGATGAGAGGCCTTATATCTGGTTGAAATGCTGCATTTATGCTGTTTTGTCTGCTAGTACAGACTGAGGATAATCAAATGTGCCAATTTCTTCGAGCTCCCTTTTGTTGTCATTAATTTGTATGGGTTAAGGAAGTGTATTGGGGATATCATGCTGCATTCTTTTGAAGAAGACCAGATGTCCAGAGCTGGATTTGTGAGACTGAAAGTGAGCTGGAATGCTGGACTGTGATGGATTTTGAGAGAACCAGAGCTCCCTCTACAGTTGTTATATTTTTTCAGTAGTTTTCTTTCAGGCCGTTAATACTTAGTGTCTTTACTTAAGCTGAAAACTGTACCATCTATATATGATGGCATTAAAGGTTACCTTAGTTTCTTTGCTTTATTACTATACGAGCACAGTTGTGTACTCATTTACAGCACCACATCTTCATACAGTTTCTACAGACAATGGTTGACAAAGCACTAAAGCATAGTATAAAAGCTTTTCTTTCATTTCCAGGTATTCCCTTTCAATCTTATTGTTTTTTCATTTAATGTCTGTACCATTCTGTACTGAAATAATATATATAACGACCTGCCTCACTTTCCCTTGCAAAATAATTAACAGTTATATTTTTCAATAAAAGAGAAAGCTGACAAACTTCACTTGAGGGCCTTAATTTGTACCAATGTGCATTACTGTCAATGGAAGCCATCGTCAGGAGTGAAACTAGCATCCCAAACAGGTTGGATCATGTTGTGTTTTTCCAGTGCTGTAGATTTACATGCTTAATAATCATCCTCAGGCTAAATATTACTATATCAAGGTTATTCCAGTATGTGCAGAGTGCACTGATTATGCTGATGGATAAGATCTGACAAATACCACAATCAAATAGTATATTCCAGATAGTACATACTGCGGTGAACCTAAACATAACATTAAAATGGAGATACATGCAGTTTATTAAAAGTAACTAAAACAGTTTATATTATAGTTTTATACACATTGCCCATAGTCAAAATCATGAGACAAGTGCTGTGTATGTTGTGTAACTACTGCCATCTTGTGGTATACATTATATTGCCCATAGTCCAATCTACGATACTAAGAGTTTAGTTATGTTGTGTAACTACTGCCATCGTGTGGGCAGTCCCTATTAGTACAGTTTAGTAAAGCCTTTACAGTCTCTTTTTTTTCATAACCAAAACATTATTATATTATAGGTTTACATTTTATTGCCCGTAGTCAAATTTATTCAAAATCAGAGGTGTCCAAACTCGGTCCTGGAGGGCTGGTGTCCTGCTGAGTTTACCTCCAACTTGCCTCAAGAGCTTGATTATCTGGTTCAGGTGTGTTTGGACACCCCTGGTCAAATGCTTGTGACAAATGCAAAACTACAATGCTAAGAATTTAGATAGCCGAGTAACTACTGCCAACTTGTGGTCAGTCTCTATTAGTACAGCTACAGGTATCAACTTTTAAAAAATTAAATAGTGTGTAAACATCTGGATGTTTGTTATAAGTATAGCTGCATTTTCTTTTTTTTAACTTCTGATCAAACAGCAAAAAAAAGAGCTTAGCCATGAGTGAGTATATCACATAAAATCACATTCACCATCTTGTGCACGTAAATGCAACCAGTACATTTCTATAGTGTACCTAAAGGGAAAGTTCACCCAAAAGTTAATTCAGTTCCTAATTTAATTCTTTAATTCTGGTATAGGCCCTATTGGAATTGCTCTGTTTACTAATATTGTTGTAATTATTAATCTCCTAAATTAATCACATTTTTCAGGGTTCAAACATGCTTGCCCAGAAGTGCCGAAAATGTACGTTTGCTATAGGTTTTGGAAGTGGGCGTGGCAAAAAGCTACATTTCACACACATCCGAAAATTGGCATACACGTCAAATTATACAAAAAAGTTGTGCCGTTTTTGCCTTTTCCAGGCATTGTACTTTAACGAATTTCTCCTAGAGATTTTACCAGATCAACAGCAAAATTGGGTTTTGTCATCTAAAGGCCTTGGCGATGATAAATTGCGAAGATCTAAAGTTTTTGTAAAAGGGCATGTTCGTGGCGGCCTCTCAAACTTTGACGATTGGCCACAAAACAGGAAGTTGTTATAACTCAGGCATACATTGTCCAATCTGCCTCAAAATTCACACATTTGACGGTCTGCAGGGCTCCAGGGCCGGTGTCCTGCAGATTTTAGCTCCAACCCTAATCAAACACACCTGAACGAGCTAATTAAGGGTATACTTGAAACACCAAGGCAGGTGTGTTAAGGCAAGTTGGAGCTAAACCCGGCAGGGACACCGGCCCTCCAGGAACGAGATTGGTGACCCCTGATCTATTATTCGCCGAAGGGTGTGTCTGTAACGGACTGACCTAAGTGCAGTGTTTTGCCATGGAGGAGGAAGTACTTATAACCCAGCCAAGCAATGTCTGATCTGCTTGAAAATTCACAGGTTCGATTAGATTCGTCCTCCGAAGGCATCTACATGCCAGTATTGAGTTAGTCATAGTGCCACCTGCTGACAGAAGGAAGTTTGGCATAAATCAGTGATTTTATCAGATTTTTAAAATATATTAGCTTTATTATTGTCCACTGTTCCGTAATCCTAAGGCCCCTGGGCGGCGATGAGCCCGGGTGCAAGGTCCCTTTCATCGCTGCTTGCAGCTTTAATTTACTTTGTTGTTTCTTCTTTTTCAAAAATAAAGAATAAAATAAATCCATCAATGTGCACTAACAACCAGCATTCTTTAAATTATCTTCTTTAGAATTCAAAGAGATTAAACAATATGGTCATTTTCATTTTTGGGTGAACTATATCTCTTTGATGGCCAACACTAATCACTAGTCACTAATAGCACATATTTCTCAACTCTACATACAGCCCCTTTAAAGTGCACAGCTCCATTTGTTTACATTTTGTGTACATATGACAGTGTGTGTGTGTGTGTGTTGTGTTTTCTTCACAGGTTGCTGTTCAAAAACAGTATCATATTAAGATTTTCTGGCTCTAGACAATTTCTCCTGTTGATAATCTGAGATTCCTTCATCTGGTGCACATTCTCCATAGGGATGACCGTGGAGACCACTGAGAGGTTCTTGCGGGCCACTGATGACAGTTTTCTGAACTCTTCTGGTAGATTCCTCCAGAATTCAAGTGTACTCCCTGAAATATCCTTCATCTCCCAGTAGTTTAGCAGGACCGACTCATCACTTCTAGATTTATGACACACACTTTTAGATTCCCTCATTTGTCTCTTGATTTCTGCTTTGACATCTTCAATGCTGGAGTCCCGCAACACGCTGGTTTTGTACTGAGGGTCCAGCGCTGTGCAAACTCTAAACCAAAGGATTTGGTTGATCTTGCCAATATGATAATCACACTTCTCAGACAGTTTCTGTGCTATTCTGTTTTCCATCATCCCCAGGTTTCTCAGCCTCTCCTGCAGCATTTGGACAACCGGTATAATATTTGAGATGGAGATGAACCCTTGTCTTCCTACTTTCAGTGTGGCTTCCTTCAAAACATCCAACACTTTTACAATTTGATCAACTATTTTTCTTTCATTCTCGTTCAGGCAAAGATCAACTCGTTTGTCCACAAAAACCTCAAAGATGGCTGGCCACTGCTCTAAGATCGTCTTCAGCATGTAAAAGGTAGGAAGCCATTTTAGACCAGAGGACTGAGTCAGTTCTCTTGACTGGAGCTTTAGAGAAATGCGGTGTTTCTGGAGATGCTGTGAAGCCTCGTCACTTTGGTGGAAAAATGCAACTATTTGCTGACATTTCCTAAGCAAAAGTTCCCAATCAGAGAGGGTTTCCCTGACAACTTTATCCAGAGTGAAAGCAAAACAAGGTATGAAGGTCCATTTGCGTATGTTGTTTTGGGCCCTTTTTATGCCGTCAACATTTGTGACCACAAATTGAGTCTTTTCAGTGATGTTCCACTCTTTGGAAATCCTCAAAAGTTGCTCCACAACACTTTCAGCTGTGCTTTTGTGGATTAAATGTGCCGTATCGAGCACATATGATTTCAGTTCCCAGTTTTCATTGATTAGGTGACCGGCCACAGTCAGGTAAAAGGTGTTTTTATTGGAGCTCCACAATTCAGCTGAGAGAACAAGGTTATGTGCTTTATTGACTGAACGCTGTACTTCTACCCGCTTTGTCCTGTAAAAACTCTGAAGTTCACATCGGATACTTGACTGAGATAAAGGGGCTTCTATGTTGACAGAGCTTAAGGGCTGCAGGTCCTTTATAATTATATTCAGAAGTTTCTTGATTCCTGAGCCCAGACCTGAGTGAAATTAAATACATGAGATGTGAACTAAAAGAATATTTTCTTGTATAGTGAAATGAAAAAGGTGAAATTTCACCACGTTACCTTTGTTTGTAGGGAATTCTTGTTGAATATGAGGCTGGGCTTGTTGGTTTGTTTGGACACGTAAAAAAGGCCTGCCATGGAGAAACTTTCTCCCTATAAGAACAGAAAAGATTGATAATTTAATCATTAATTTAATTTAGACATTAATTTATAAGTCCTTATTTTTTAGATACTAGTATTTTTTACATGAAGTACTACTAATACTTATTTATTAGATACTAGTGCATATTTTTTAGATATAGTGCATTTTAAAAAAATATTCTAGTGTTTACTCATTAGACACTACTTCTTTTTTATTAGATACCTGTAATTAATACTAGTACTTATTCATTAGGTACTAGTACTTACTCATTAGATATTACTTATCAAATAGATACTAGTTCTTGTATTTTAGGTACTTGTACTTATTCATCAGATATTACTTATTAAATAGGTACTAGTTCTTAATTTTAGATACTAGTACTTATTCATTAGATATTACTCATTAAATATATACTAGTTATTATTAATTAGATACTAGTACTTATTCGTTAGATACTAGTATGGCAAGCCGTTTAGACATTAATTTATAACCCGTACCTGTTTTCAAGTTACTAGTCCTTATTTTTTAGATACTAGTATCTTTTACATAAGTACAACTAGTCTAGTACTTATTCATTAGATTCTAGTCCCTATTCTGTAGATATAGTGCTTTTTTAAATATACTAGTGTTTACTCATTAGACACTAGTTCTTTTTTATTAGATACTAGTACCTATTAAATAGATACTACACTGAAAAAAAATATTTAATAATGATTCCTTGGATTTACTATTTTTTTTACGTTAAGTGGTTGTAAACAACTTATTTGGGCTGAATTTAAACAAAAAAATTAAGTTGAACATTATTAAATTCAATTTGTTAATTTGCCTTATTCATACTTATTCATTGGGTGCTAGTACTTATTCATTGGTCATGTGTTGTTTTTCAGTTGAAATAAAACTTTTACATGTTTTCCATGCATAAGAAGGCTTTACCAATCAACCTATAAAGTGTTAATTACTGTGAAATGTGAAGAGGTTAATTGCCATATTATGTGCACATAAAGTGTAGTAGGCTGCTACATGAGACAACACATCCTGTTTGTGGCTATGCAGAGAGTTCTGAGAATGACAGGATGTATGAGCTTGTGTATGAGCCGTGTGTGTGCTATGAGGAGACATTTGCCTTAAATGTCAACTGTTAAGAGAAGAAGTTAGATACAGCAAACAACTGTGATATAAAAGGTGTCTCTGAAAGAGAGTTCAGAGTTGAACCTCTGTTGTTACTTTTAGTTTCTTTCCTGCGTGAGCAAATAAAACTTATAATTTTTGACAGATTGACTCCGAACCCATTTTTGAACATGCGCTGGACCCTTTGAAGTCCAACAGTTACTAGTTCTTATTCATTAGATATTACCTATTAAATTGATACTAGTTCTTATTTATTAGAAACTAGTACTTATTCATTAGATACTAGAGCTTATTAATTAGGTAATAGTACTTATTCATTAGATACTAGTACTTATTAATTAGTACTTATTCATGAAATATTACTTATTAAATTAATTTTAGTTCTTATTTATTAGAAACTAGTACTTATTCATTAGATACTAGTGCTCATTAATTAGGTACTAGTACTTAATTATGAAACATTACTTACTCTTATTCAAACATCTTGATTAGTAGTTTCTGGCAACTTACCTCTGTCTGAAGTGTGGTTTCTCTCTGGTTTGTACACACGTGGATACGGAAGCTGCATGAATTTATTGCGGGACAAATGTCCATGTCTGCTGCCTCTGTGGTGATGATCTACTAGAAGTGCACATTTGGAGAAAGAGATCAAACGAAGCTTTGTGATTCTGGCAATGTACATTAGATCAAAGAGAGAGATATACGTATAAATGTTTTTTAAAATATCCTTCTTATATCTCCAGAAACAGATCTGAAACCTACCAAAGTGAACTCTTTTTCTCTTCATGTCTCTGTGCATCCTCGAAGCCATTTCTGACAGGCTGTCAGAGTCTTAAGTTGTTCAGTAGATTTGCTTTCAATTCTGCCCCTGGTTGTTGATTTGAATATGCAGTTGTATAACATGCCACCTGACTTTTAAAGGGCGTGTAAGGGGTGAAACTATATGGCAAGCAGTTTTCACATCTAATCAATAACGTATACTGGTCTCTATTTTTATGCTCTTTTAATTTACTTTAATATCTTTTCCATTTGCAGTAGTAATGTTCTTGTTCTTCTTATTAAATTATTCTTATTCATTACATGGTGCATATATTAAAGACTATAGTTCCTATTTGTGAGATGTTCTATTGTTATCAATTTCAAGTTTAACTTTTCTATGCCACAGATGGTCATATGTAATGAAGAGATCAGCTATTTACTTTTGACTGGAATCCACATGTGACTAGCAATTTATATGTAATTTAATTTAGTCTACCTTTTTTCCAACTAAAACTTATTTGTTAGATACTTTTACTTATGAAACAGATACAGTATTTATTACATGTAATTATTTAGATACTACGTCTAATGATTTTGATATTATCACCTAATTGATATTCATATGTATTTAATGGCTGCTGATTCATTAGATATAAGTAATGCTACTTGTTTATTAATTTTAGCCTGTGGGTTAATTAACAGATACTGTCACCTCACATCAAGAAGGTCACTGGTTCGAGTGCAGGTTGGGCCAGTTGGCATTTCTGTATGGATGTTCTTCCCGTGTTTGCTTGAGTTTCCTCCGGGTGCCCCGGTTTATACCACAGTCCAAATCCATGTTTCCTAGTACTGGGTTGCAGCTGGAAGGGCATCTGCTGCTTAAAACGTACACTGTAAAAAATAATTCATAATTTTACAGTTTATTTCCTGCAGCTGCCGGAAAAAAAGGTAAAATAATGGCTGCTAAATTACAGAAAGTTACCATAAAATAATGGACAATAAATGACAGAAATGTCTTTAAATTTCTGGTAAATTTCTGTAATTCAACCTCTGTTTTTTTACAGTACATTTTTATTTTAACTTTAAATTTTTTTAAGTTTTTTTATTTTTTAGGCACCCCAGCTGTTGGAAATAATTCGTAAACTTGATTTTTATTTTTTTTTTTACATTGTATGCTGGAATAGTTGGCGATAGTTTACGCTGTGTGGTGACCTCTGAAATAGAGACTAAGCCAAAGGAAAATGAAAACCATTTATTGAATATATTTGCATAAATAAATAAAAGATAATACTACAGTGGGTTTTACATTAAAATATAAAACAGCTTGACATACTGAAATGCAAAATCCACAAAAGTTTTGCTAAAGCCTGAAAAAAACAAACAAAAAAAAAACATCAGTTTTAATTTGATCGCAGGTGGTCGAGTGTAATTAGTCTAATGGCCAGGAGAGGGTGTCATTTATCCTTTCATTTTGTTTAAAGTTTCTGTTGTTGCCTGAATTTCATTAAAACTAAATGCAGTTCATCTGATAATGTATTAAAATGTCAGCATTATTTGAAAAGCATCTTTATTATGGGTGTGTACAAACTCCTTGGGTGTCCTGAGCAGATTATGGTAGTATTACTAAACACAAATAACAAATATTTTAGTGATAGAGTTGGTTTATACATATTAAGAAATCATGGCATAAAAATAATACAGAGAAGTTATGGTATTCTTATCAGACATTTAAACCATCTGCAGATATAAAGGCATTAATATTTGAGTGCATGACCCATTAAATGTAAAAGCATTTCTTTACATTGCCATCCTCACTTAAGCAGGGAGTGTCCATTATGTATTTTGATAGGTGCGGTCTTATCTTACTTGCTTGAAAATTTGTACAATTTTAAAAGGAACATTGCATAAACTGAAAATAGATTCAGTGAAAGAGATGCTGAGGATGTAGTCCTAGATCGGTAAATGGGGGAAAATTGTCAAGAATCTGAAGGTCAACAAGTTTGCATTGCTACTGCTATTGCTTGTTTTGTACTTAAACTTTTAAACCTTTTAGTCTATATTAAATCTTAAATTATATATATATATATATATATATATATATATATATATATATATATATATATATATATATATATATATATATATATATATATATATATATATATATATATATATATAATTTGTGTGTGTGTGTGTGTGTGTGTATGTATATATATATATATATATATATATATATATATATATATATATATATATATATATTTTTTTTTTTTTTTTTTTCTTCATTTGGCTCTCGGCGAAGGCAGTCGCTCTTCTTCCCTCTCCGTCCCACTTATTCTATCTCTGAGGCTCTTCTTGTCCTGCTTTCCAAACGAAAAAGGAATTATGGATTTGATCAACTGGTCAACTGGTGTATATATATATATACACACACACATATACACACACACACACATATATATATATATATATATATATATGATCAATATCACAAAAGTAGCAGTGCGATGTGGCTGTATTTCTGCACTGGTGGGAGGTGTGAGTTGGCACGAGGCCGCAGCCCAATATACAGCCACATCGCACTGCTACGAGTCATATGAGAAATATATATATATTTTTATTATATATATATTTTTTTTATTATATATATATATATATATATATATATATATATATATATATATATATATATATATATTTAATATTATATATTGTTTTTCTGGTCTTCTCGAAGTGTCCGCAAACTCTGGATCTGTACACATCCTGAATGTTGCTAGTGAAAAGCTTATTTTTTCAACATTTTTCTTTTTGGCTTCCTGCTGTCAATATTGAAACGTGAGTGTCCCGGCCCTGAACTTCTGCTGGGTGGAGTGGGTCAGCTTCCTTCCTTTGGAGATCCACAGAGCATCTTCCAAACAACTGCTCTATCCGGGCTGCCAGTGTTTCCAGGATATGAGTGGATAGTAAACACAGCAGTACATGCGGTTTACCTGTGTAAAGCCAGAAATGGAGATGATAAGGGAAACAGGAACACTTAATCGCTTGTGTTATTTGAACACTGCATCTGTGTTTATGAGATCAGGACTAGAGTTACTTAAGTATAATATGCAACTGAAAACTGTTGTGAATTTTTCTTATCCAGGCTTTAAGTGAAGAAATGTCCCCAGGAAGTTTTAATGTTATTTTTTTACAATGTTACTTTTCTATTACTGCTCCCAAACTGCTAGACTTGTACATACTTTCAGGACCTGTGGTGTTAAACTAATCTAATGAACTTCATTCATTCATTCATTTTCTTGTCGGCTTAGTCCCTTTATTAATCCTGGGTCGCCACAGCGGAATGAACAGCCAACTTATCCAGCACGTTTTTACGCAGTGGATGCCCTTCCAGCCGCAACCCATCTCTGGGAAAAATCTAATGAACTTAATATAATTTGTATTTTACTTTGGGATTGTTTTCCTCATTTAAAAAAAAAAAATGTCAGTTCATTTTTGTTCTTTTTTTAATTTGCTTTTATTAAAAGTTTTTATTGTCTTGATATTCTCTTGATATGACTCTTTCTTTACTTTTTTTTTTTGCTTTGCTTTGTCTTTTCATTCTATTTTTATTTGCTTCGTTTTCGTTGTGCTTTTCTTTTCTTTAATTTGTCCTGCTTTACATTTTTTTTGCTTGCTTTTATATTTTGTTCAATCTTTTGTTTTCTTTTTTCTTTTTAATTTGCTTTGATTTCATTTTATTTAATCTTATTTTGTTTTTCTGGTATTTCTTTGATTTTCTGCTTTTTAAAATGTATTTACTTAAGTTTCTTTTCATTCTTTTTTTGTTTGCTTATTGTTAGTTTTGCTTTCCTTTTCTTTTATTTGATGTCTAAAGTTTCTCTTTTATTTTCCCAGTTTGTTCTTGCTTTTGTTTTGTTTTGTTTTCTTCTCTTTTATTATTTAACATTTTTTTCCTTTTATTTTTTTTTAGTTTGCTTTGTTTTACATCAGTTACTAGAAAGAAAGAAAGCCAGCGGCCGGCAACTAGCTCTATGCAACCCTCACATGGTCACCCACTGAAGCTAAGCAGGGCCCGGTCAGTACCTGGATGGGAGACCACAGGGGATAGGTTTCTGCCAGAAGTGGTGTTAGTGAGACCAGCAGCGGGTTCTCTACCTGCGGTCTGCGTGGGCCCTAATGCCCCAGTATAGTGACAGGGACTTTATACTGCTCAGTGAGCGCTGTCTTTTGGATGAGACGTTAAACCGAGGTCCTGCACACTAGTGGTGGATATAAAGCCCAGAAAAGCGCTATATAAACGTAAGAAATTATAATTATAAAGAAGGAAAGAAAAAAAGAAAGACAGAAACACAAAAATACTGGAAAACATTTTTATACCTGTGGCTTCTGATGGTGCATTGATGTTTTATGAAGCTAAACAATCTGTGTAAGAAATGCACCATTATTTTCAACATTATTACCTCTTCCACACAAAAAAAAGGTCACCTACATCTTGGATGATCTGAGGCTGAGTAAATAAACAGCAAGACATTATTTTTGGTTGATGTATCCTTTTAAAACCCCGTACATCCTCATTGTACCATTAAGCTACAGCACAGTTGGCTCATTTGGGACAAGTAGCGATCTTGTCATTTTGCCAGAAAAAAACCCTGCAGTTCTATATGCTGGGAAACCTCCCGCTCTTACTTTCTCAACAATATTTTCTTTCTGTTGGTGCTTAGATCTCATGCACAGGCCGATGCATTTATGAAGTTGGCAGGGATTTTTATTTAAAGCAGAAGACATTGCATTCAGGGAGTACGCTTTGTAATTTCATACATTCTCTGGAAATCATACTCACGGTCATGGCATTGTAAGTGTCACACGCGATTGTTTAAAGCACTGGAATGTGTCAGACGTGTTGAAAAATACTAGACAGACGTTTGTCACTTGGCATGCACTGTCTGACACACCTTT